CCATTGAAGAAGTGGTGAACCAATTAATAAATTTGCACTGCTCAACTTGAGCAGTGCAAGATGGTATATTCCTGAGGTACAAGCTGGGAGCAGGGGGGGGATTTGGCGGGTGCCTTTCTCTGTGTGATTCATGAGTGTCTCTGGGAGAATTCATGCAATCTAGCTGGGTGTGGGGGCTCTACATGCTGTTGTGCTGAGTGATCACAGCTCCTGGAGGGGTTTGCTGCTTGTCACTAGCAAAGCATTGTGAGAGACAGCCCAGGCTAGAGAGTTAAGGAGGGCACAGTGGTCCCACAGTCTCAGGCTGCACCCCGGGGATCCCGTCACAGGGGAAAGTTGCCTTTTTCTGAAAAATCAAATGTTGACTGCTGCCAGAGGCAGGATATCAGACTAAATATATCAGATATGTCAAAACCTAGTAGATATGGGTAACATTTTCAAAAGCACCAAAGTTATATAGAAGCATTTGAAAATTTTACCCTATATCTATAGTTTATAAATCATTATTCATAGTTCACTGTTTTCTAAAAACCTACAGATATTAATACTCTATTCCCTATACCCTTCTTCTTGTTGCTTTCTTTGTTATGTGTTGTCTAGTTCTAGGCCCTGATCCAGCAAAGATATATGTGCAGTCTTATACAGTTGATTTCAATGGCTCTACTGCCAACATGTAAAGATATGCACACACATAAGCCTTTCCAGAACTGAGGTCTCAGATTGTCAGTTCTCCCGGGCAGGGTCCAGGTTATTTATTTGTCTGTATTTTCCATTTGTCTTTTGAGTGCTCAGTGAAGAAATGACAATAGTAAATGGCTTACTTTCATCTAAACAAAGTGCTGGCAGCAGAAATAACAGAAGGTTCTTTTCTATTCTGTCTTTTTTTCACTGCATGCCTAAAAAAATAAAAATAGAGGAAGAAATCTAATTTATGCATTGGAATGAAGATAAAAGTCCCTCCAAAATAAGCTAAAAGGTCCTCTGTGTATCACAAAGCCTTTTATATAATTCCTTTTCCTGATCAAACACTGTATGACTTGAGCAGCTCAAAACCTGGCACAGACTTGTCTTGGTTTCCCCCCTTTGTTCAAACTCACTAAGTCTGAGAAGAGTGGAGATATTCACCAACTCAGAATTCTCTAAAAGCAATATTCTGAAACAGGTGGTTGCTGATAAGATGTGACTCCTCTAAACTGAATGGGGAGTACCCCAGTCCACAAAACAGAACAACTGCCTAACTCAGTGACTTGTTATCTTTTTAATGGCTTCATGTTCCAACAGGAAGAAATATCGGTATCCCCCCTCCCAGCTAGCCTATGAGGAACTACTGGAGTACTGCTTCCAGTTTTGATGTCCACACTTTAAAAAGGATGATGACAAATTGGAAAGGGGCCAGAAAAGAGCTACAGGAACAATTTGAGGTCTGGCAAACCTGTCTTATAGCGAGTTTCGTATGGTGAACAAACCTCAGTACTGATGTAAAATTATTATAACTTCCTTTTTATATTAAGTTGTTATGAACTTGTTTGCACTTTTACTGAACATTACAATATAGCCACAAGTATGTTATAGCCAGGAAGCTTGAAATTATAATAATACCTCTATATGTTTGAAGTTAGTTATGTTATTAATGTTCACAGTGGTTAGAGAAATTTCAGGAGGTTTTCACTTCTGTCACCAACAACAAGCAAATGTCAGGAAGATAACCTCTCCTTATCCATAAACCATGTTTTAAAAGAGTGTGATATGAACTCAGAAAAGCTGCAGTTTAAATTTCACCTTGCCTTATCGTTTATACTATTTTCCTTTCTGATATGTTTAAAAGATATATTGGATACTGAAATTTGTGCTTTGTACAAAATATCTGATAGAAGTTTAATTGATATAACAAATAGATTATAACTCTAATGTCAAACCAACCTAATATCCTTCTTTGGGTAACAATCCTAGTAGATAGAAGGGAAGTGGTAGATGTGATACATCTCGACTTTACTAAGGCTTTATGGAATCTTCATCACTGGAGGTTTACAAAAACAGGTTAAGCACCTATCAGAGAGGGTCTAGAATGGATAATACTTACTCCTGCCTCAGTGCAGGGGACTGAACTAGATGATCTATCGATGTCCCTTCCAGCCCTACATTTCTATGATTCTAAGGAGCTTGTGTCAAGAGTAGGGTTGCCAACCCTCCAGGATTGTCCTGAAGTCTCCAGGAACTAAAGATTAATTTTTAATTAAAGATTATGTCATGTGATGAAACATCAAAGACTACATCCTACCAAAATTGGCAACCCTAGTCAAGAGACAATCTCCTAAGAGTGTCTTACCTAGACCAGGACATCTCTATTTGTACAATATCCAAGTTTGATAATCCTTATCCTCAAGAAGACAAACCATGTAAAACATATGTTTTAGGAATAGCCACAATGGTGAAAAGAAATGTAAGGTTTGTTATCAGAGAATAAACCTGGGTAAACCCACACAAAGAATTCAAGAAATATCCTGATTGGAATGAAATTTATAATTATTCTAAAACTTCATTCAAAAAAACCATGAGGAAAAAAATGTGTAGCTGGAAAATTTTAAACCTTTTCTTTATTTCTTAAATACTAAAATAGCAAACACCTTTGTAAATGCATACTTGCAAATATGTCAGTTAATATAAAGCTCCTACTATCATTATTATGTTTGCAGTGCTGTAGCCATGTGATCCCAGGATATTAGAGAGACAAGGTGGCTGAGGTAATATCTTTTATTGAACCAACTTCTGTTGGTGAAAGAGTTAAGCTTTCAAGCTACAGAGCTCTTCTTCAGGTCTGGGAAAGATACTCAGGAGTGTCACAGCTAAATACAAGATGGAACATATGGTTTAGTTCTGCTAGTTTAGGCTTTTATCTACACTGGAACTTCATCGGCAAAACTTTTGCCATTCAGGGGCGTTAAAAAAAAACACACTCCCAAACGACGAAAGTTTTACCGATGAAAAGCATCGGTGTGAACAGTGCTTTGTCAGCAGGAGCACTCTCGTTGGGGGTGGCATATTTTTGATCTCTCTCCTGCCGACAAACAGCAGCTACATTGTGCATCTTTTAGCAGCACGGTTGTAGCAATGCAGCCATGTCGCTAAAAGCTGCGCACTGCAGACAAAGCCTTAGTTTAAGAGATATTCTAAGGGACCATTCAAGGGAAAGTGGCTCATTAACACTTCTGCAGTGCTACCCACAACACCCCCCACAACACACCTTTCAAGATCCATGGGTCCTATACATGCCTATCACAACATGTGCTGTACCTCACCCAGTGCACTAAATGCCCCAATAACAACTACGTGGGTGAAACGAGACAATCACTACGCTATTGAATGAACTCACACAGAAAAATGGTAAAACAAGAATGCCATATTACCCATGGGTGAACACTTTTCTTGCATCTGAAGAAGTGAGGTTCTTACCCACGAAAGCTTATGCTCCCTATACTTCTGTTAGTCTCAAAGGTGCCACAGGACCCTCTGTTACTTTTCCCAAAGTGATCACTCCATATCTGACCTATCAGTCCTCATCCTCAAATGGAACCTGCTCAACATTTTCAAAAGAGGAATCTGGGAATTTATATTCTTAACTTCGCTAGACACTAAAAATAATGGCCTTAATAAAGAGACTGTAATTATGGCTTATTACAACAATCTGTAACCCACTAAGAACATGTTTACACTATAATCTTAAGTCGACCCTATGTCAGGTCGATTTACAGTCACAGCAGTAATTACTGCGTGGACTGATGTCCAGACTACCCTCCTTCTGTCAGTGGTGCACGTCCTCACGAGGAGCACTTCCACTGACTGAAGAGGGATAGTGTGGGGGCTTAGAGCCAGGGCTCTCAGCTTCACGCAGCTCCCCACCCAGAGCCCAACTGCCCCCTGGGCTTCTCGCCTTCGCACCCAGCCAGGAGTGGTGAGAAAGCCACCTGGGGCTTCTCACTTCGGGCGGGGAGATCTGCGCTCGGAGTCCAGTCAACTGCTGTGCTCCCAGTGGGGAGCCAGGGTCCTGGGGGGAGGCAGCAGGGCTCCCCACGGGGAGTGGAGAGCCTGAGGGCTGCCCAAGCCAGGAAACCCGGCAGCAGCCGGGCTGGCAAACCGGGAGTCGGTTTTCTTGTCAATTTCACAGCTCCAGTGAACAGTCAACAGCCAATGTAAGGAACATAGTGTCTACACCGATACTGCATTGCCCTAGTTACACCTACATAAGCCCTACACCATCATAAGTGCCTAAATGGAAGCTGAGTTCATTTGAAAATCTGCCCACTTGTAGCCACCATACTATCTCCAGGTCCTGGGAGAGTTAACCTGCCTAAGAACACTTGCACCACTCAGCACAAAGGTAAACAAATATTCTTTGGTTGGGGGCTTGTTTTATGATCGGACAGCATCAGAGCTTCCTATATCAAGATTGGCATAAATTATATTTGGCATCATTTATTGTAGTGGTTAATTACTACAGATTTTCCATTTCTCTGCAGCATGAGAGACATGGAGAAGAGTATGTTTTCAAATTGTTATGTAGGATATATCAAGTAAATGGGAATCCTACAGCTAAACTCCTTCAGATAACACCAAAACTGCATTCCCCGGAGAACAATTACATTCAATGGTGTCGTTGTTTTCAGTATTATTACAATGAAATTGGAATGAAATTAATGATTAGACATAGGCATTACGTCAAACCAAGGCACTGGGAATTTCACCAATGTTTTAATACACAACCCTGTGACCGAGAATTTTCTGAATGGCATTCAAAGTATCTGCAATAACTCCACATGCAGAGTTTATGAATAATGTAGGATGAAATTCATCCCAATCCAGACCCAAACCACTTACATCCCACTTAAGCCTTATTTTGGGGGGTTAAATGAGCTTTCGGTAGTGCACAGTCCTTGAGCTGTTCGACTCTGAATAAATGCGCCCTTCCCATACACACACATCCCATTCTAAATTAATGCTCCTACCTTATCTTTATTTTCAGAGCCAGAAGCCTCAAGTTTGGTCCGAATCACAAATGGTGTTGATAATCTCAGGAGGACTCGTTCAAATGTGGCACTGACCTTCGGGGAAACTATCTCAAAGCATTCCTGGAATTTCAACGTTTTGTGAGTGTCACATTTGAGCTGCTTCCTAAGGCCTTCCCCAAGCTGGAGCACCAGCATGTTTGGATCAAACATCAGATGGAAGGGGAAAGCTCTGCAGAAGGTGCTGATGCTTATCCTCAGGTCTGAGGGAGACTGAGATGATCCGAGTGGAAGTGCTTTTGTGATATTTGCATTTTCACGTTCTTTGATAATAAAAGTAAGACAGCTGCAATTACCTGGGTTCGACCCCTCCGCATACAGTTTCTCATTCGTGACTTGTTCCACATCCACTTCCAAACGGTAGATCTTCTTTGCTGCCGCCTTTATCATTCCCATCATTGCAAATCCAACAATATGATGAGGGTGAAAGTAGTGGAGCATGAGGTTGCCTTCAGGGAGCTCTTTGCATAGGAAAGAAGGGGATTCCAGAGTGACCTGTCTTCCAAATGAAGTTCTAATGTGCTCCAGCAAAGCGTCAAAGCCATTGAAGAAGTCCTGCAGCGTGCCACCTACAGCGCGAAGAACTCTTTCATTCTCATCAAAGCAGATATTGAAGAATTCTTCCCCAAATTTTTCTTGCATCTCCTCAAACTTCAAACCTATAGGGCAATGGTAAATATATGTCAACAACGTGGTGGGGTTATTGTTGTGCAACATTTTTCCTTTATAATCTGCTTTTGTTTGGGGCTTCCCCCCAGCCACCAGACTATGATTTGTCCCCTATTCTAAAGTCTTCTTCATTAAGGATACCTGCTAGTGGGATTCCCATTTCCCTAAGGTAAAAGCTACCAGATTTCATTGGTCTCTGTGGGTGACCCTACGATGTCTGCATCACATCTCGTCATTCTGGACTGCTTTTTTTTTTCCCTGTCCATCTTCCTTCCTCACTCCCCAGTCCCATCTCCCTCTATCAGCCACAGTTTGTGAATCATGCACTTTTACCTTTTCTCATTCCGGTTAGAGCCCAGAGGACTACACTTTCCTCATGCTTTATATCTCACACACTACAACATTATCTGACCTCTTTGCAATGAGGATGACTAGACAGAACTTCCTTCAGAATCTTTTAGTACCACCTTTGAATTGGACAGTGGGATCATAACAGAGCAACACAACAGTTCTCCTTCCCCCTCATTGTCTCTGCAACACTCCAAGGCCCCACTGAGTCAAAGACTGGGACTGGAAATCAAACCTAGAACTTCCACAGAACAATGCGAAACCCACAACTGGCCACAGAGATATACCTCTTCTGGCTGCATTTACTCTGCAACCATGAAATAAGACAGCCTCAGAGCCTGAAATACTTTTCCTACACTGACCACTAGGGATTGCTAAAGAATAAGATGAAATAACCCCTTTCTCTGAATTGCTTGAATTTGAGAACGTAGCTTGTGCAATGCTTCCAGGCTTAGCCACCTGGAAAAGCATTTCTGTGGCAAAGGGTGAAGAGGCTAGTGAGTCATCCACCACTAATGTACTAGATCTTTTCATGTTCCCATCACAGAAAGGCTTTCATTTTTGAAAAGTGATCATACCAAACATCGCATACAGGCAATAAAAAATGGCAGCAATAAAAAGATCCCAGACTGACAATGTGCATCAAATGCTGCTTTGATTTGCTAGTAACTATCTTAAAGGTTTTCCATTTTAAGATGACGACTCATCTCTCTACTATTTTCTAGGAATGCTCTTTTAAGCATCATTTGCATTTAATCACTATATCAAAGGCTGGAGTTACAATGTGTATAGCATGTGTGTGTCCAGTTACGAGATGTGGTAGGATGATTTTCATGTGAATTATTAGAATATATACCCAATGTAAGAGTGTGCAGAGAAAATAAATTCAACAAATAAAAAAATGTCCTCCAGTGCATCATTTTTATTAAATGTAACACATACTAGTTAAATCCATGACAGCTGGTCCTAATTATTCCAAATGAAATGAAGGACATAGTCATTTATTTCCTAAGGGTACAAATCAGATCTTCATTATAATAAATATTCAACACGTCTTATGCTATCTTCAGTAAAATACCAGTGGATCTCTGAAGACCGTTACATCATTTGTTTGGATAGCTCATAGGCTTCTGAACTTGGAAGAACCATGTAATTAAAATAGTTTCATACCCAGAGACATGAGAACAGCAGAAGTTATTCATCTATTGTTTGTTGAACAAAACTTTGATAATAATCTCAAAGCAGTATTCGAATAAGTACATGGCTATAATTATAACTACTAGCGCCCTGCAAATTACTGATTTTTCAGTTTGCTGGAAATTCTGAAAATTAAACAAAAAAATCATTTCTGATTCACCCAAAATTGAAGTTTTTCAAAATTTTCAGCAAATCAAAAATTTAAAAAAAAATCATTGCGGGTCAAATAAAATGTTAGTTTCATTCTGAGTCAAACATGTTTCTATTTTAGACTTTTTTAAAAAATAACTGAAGGGAATATAGAAACAAAAATTCTTTTAAAAAGCTAAAAAATGAAATGTTTCATTTTAAAATTGTTAAAAGGAAACATTTCAACTTTTTCAGCTTTTTTTGTCCGACACAATTTGGCAGAAACCAATACAAATTTACGAAACATTTTGGTGTTGACAAGAAACTTTCAGACAAAAAATTTTACCCAGTTCTATTCATGGTTGGTATTTACTCAGCACCCTTCATCCAAACTGATTTACAAACTATATGTAGTGATCTTTTTACTCACATCTGGGATGTGGCATGATGAGTTTAAAAACTCTTAACACTGCACAACTTATGAAGAAAATTAACTTATGTAGGAAAATTAATAGGATACATTTAGGTAGGTAGCAGAATATAATTATTCATATTGGCATTTGGCCAGAATACCTGGGTTGAAAGCCCTCTTTTATAACTACAAGTGGTGAGAACTGTGGTTTTATGGATACCTCCAGTAGTATCGTGCCTCCTAGTAGAGGAAAGGGTGTCAGTTACTGAATCACCACCATTACTTTTGCAGAACACAGGACTCTAACATCTTCCAGGCAAGTACCAACCCCAACCAATGGGGGTTATTTTATGAAATTAGGTTCAGTGATATGGCCACAGGATATGCCATTGTCTTTTTAAACATTTTAGGTGTTAATCAGTGGAGTTACCCATGCTCCACTGGAGTATTATAGCAGTGAATCAGTCATAGAAAAACAGAAGTGGCCAAACTGGATCAGACCAGTGGTTTTTCTAATCCAGAATTTTGTCTGACAATGCCCATGACCAGATGCTTTAGAGAAGGGTGAAAGAAACCCTGAAGTAAGCAGGTATGGGATATCCCTTCCATAGAGAAAGTTTCTTCCTAATCCCCATGAGTTAGAAGCTAATTTATGCCCTGAAGCATAAGGGTTTATATCCTGTTCTAATTTTTTTTTTTTTATAATTTACTATTGTAACTCAGAGAAACAAGGTGGGTGAGCTAATATATTTTATTGGACCAACTTCTATTGGTGAAAGACAAGCTTTTGAGCTACACAGAGCTCTTCTTCAGGTCACACAAATTGTATTGTAACTCTGGATGTTCTCATTATCAAAAAATAATTATCCCATACAGTCATACTAAGCTCTAGCCTTGATGATATCTGGTGGCATGGAGTTCCACAGGCTATTTGTGCCTTATATGATGAAATATTTTCTTTTACTACTTTTAACTCTATTTTCTGTTTTGCTGAACATCCCCTTGCTCTTGCAATCCACTTCCATCTCTATAAAGTTCATTTTTTGTTTCTCTTTATCTCATCCCCTCTTATTCATTTCCTGTATAAAGAGTCTTAGTTATTTTCACTCTCTCTTAAATGGATTTTTTCCCCCAGGCCTGTTAAATATGTTTAGGTATAAAAAAGGAAATACTACCACCATTGTTAGAAGTACAGAAATTGTCATACCAGATCAAATCAATGGTCCATCTTGCAAAGCATTCTGTCTCAACAGTGGCTAGTACCAGATGCTTCAGAGAAACTGTATAATCTAATGGTCAATTATGCAATAACAAGCTTTGGGGGAAGCTTCTCCTTAACAGCAATAATTAGTGGTTGGCTGATATCCCGAAATAAGAGGATAGTAGTAGGTCTGTGGATATTTTTATTATTAATATAAAAGACTGATTTAATAAAAAATCCTCCTAAACATTTTTTCTCAGCATCTAAGTTATAATATTTTGAGAGTTCTACAGGTTAATTATATGTTATATCAACAAGTATCTACATTATTTGTTGCCATTCAATTAAACTAAGTATTCCTCATTCTTTTTCTTCTATTTTGAGAATCTTTTCTCTCTCTTCTCATAGGCTTTCGGGTGATTCTTCATTTTTATCATCTTTCTCTGATCCTTTTACATTTCTGCTACAATATTTTTGCAGGGGAATGTCCAAAATCGAGCACAGTGTTCGGGGTATGAGTGTACCATCTATTTATGTAAAGTCATTATCAGATCTTCAGTATTATTCTCTGTCCCTTTCTTAACATAATCTAACATAAAAGAAATCACAGCATACAAGCAGTTCAGAATCAATAAGGTGAAAGATGTGATCAAAACAACAAAATACCCTGGGATTGAGCCACAGATCATACCGAAGCAACTATAACCCATCCAATTATTCCTGTAGAGTGAACCAAGGAGACAACAGCAGCCAATAGTACATGTTCCATTGCATCCAATTCCCTTGGTAGATATTAACACGTACTATATGGGATATCCCTTAAGAAAATTGAAGTGTCATCTAGTGAACGGTAGAGGTGAGATACAATTTGCAGTTCTAACATTCATATCATGAACAAAAGACTAGGTTTTGTCCCCATGGGTGTAGCAAAAGTTTCCTCAATGAAGCAGATTTATAATAAATATTTAGTCTCCTCTTCATAACACAACTCTCTTCTGCTTTTATCTGATGGTGGTTTAGGCAGAAGTTGAAGACTCCAGGACACCATTTAAAAACAATAGGAAAAACTAAATTTTTAACCAACATTCACTCGCTCATTAAAACAAATTTTGATGGGTGTAGTACATACCCGACTGCTTATTAGCTGAGCAATTGGCCTCTAGATGACAGTATGACCTATATCTAATTAATTTGTGATTAATTTTATTACCTTGAGTATAAAGATAAATTCTGTATCAAATGGAGGAAGCTGGACAACCATTTTTATATGGTCATTTTTATTGGTTGCATATAACTGTAGTAAAAGCATTTTATATCTTTACAAACAGCTTTGGCACAGCTGTAAAACTGTACTACAACTTACTTTGTAGAGCTATATATATTACCTAGATACCTTGTACAATTTAATAAACGAAAAAATGAAATTTACATAAATAGAAAAGGTTGGGTAAAAAGTTTTACCCACATGTGCTTACCTGTAATATTTGTTTTACCTGTGTTTATAATGAAAATAATATTTTTCTAATAATGTTTAAAATGCAGTTCTAATCTAACAAGTGACTAAAAATAACATCATGATCACC